TATTAAATGAAAATGAATTCACTTTGAGATTTACAGCAGAGGTGGGAAATCCCTCCTTGAACTTTTTGGATGTGACACTAACTCCCGAGAATGAAGGTACCATACGAACAGACCTTTATAGAAAAAGTACAGCCACTAATAGTCTGTTGAACTGTAGAAGCCATCACTCAGTTCAGTAAAAAAAGGGGTATTCCTATTGGCCAATATCTAAGCCTCAGAAGAAATTGGTCTGACAGAGGACTTCAAAAAGAGAGCAAAAGAACTACGCTCTATGTTCAGGTCAAAAGGCTATCCCAACAAATCCTTAAAGAGAGTGTATCATAGGTCACTTTTAACTGAAAGAGAAAGTCTCCTAAGTGAGGAAGTAAACCCTCTCTCGAAACAGAAGACAAGTGACTCTAAACAGTTAAAGTGCATAGCCACCTATGATGTAGGTTGAGATAGGGTAAAGACGATTATAGATAGATTTTGGCCCATTCAAAGAGAGGATGGTTATCTCAGGGATGTAATTTCTCCAAATGCATCCATCACAGCTAGAAGGGGAAAGAATTTCAAAGACTTATTGGTACACAGTCATTTCCAAAGGGAGACGGCACCAAAGACTGGCTGTCAAGTAAATTAAAAGGGACTTACATGTGTGGCCGCTGTAAAGTGTGCAACTTTATTTCTAAGGAATCCAAACACTTTGAGAATAGCAGCCATAATGAAACATTCCAAGTTAAATCTTTCTTTAACTGTAACACAAAAGGGCTAATGTGGTCTCATGTACATAGGAAAAACGTTTCGCCCCTTCAAGAGATGCATTATAGAACATATCAACTCTATGAAAAAACTAGAAATATCGAGACACCAATATCCAGGCATGTCAAACTGGTCCATCAGGGCAACACCAAAGGACTGAAAGTCCAAGGCATCGAATTAGTAAGACTGGATCAAAGGAAAGGCAACCTTGACAGACGCCTGCTGAGGAGGGAGTGCTTTTGGATACATCATCTCCCTCTGGGACTTAATGAGTGATTCCCATTCTCTGCATTTATTAACGACCTCTAAAATATCATATTATTCAAAGACTGATTACTAATACAACAGCTAAACTATCCACTATTTTACCAAAACATGCAACCATTTTACCAAAACATGCAACCAGCGACTCAGCATGACAATTATGTCCTCACAGCTCCATAATTGTCTTTATTGCTCCATTCATTGGAAAAGAGATTAGGGACCCCCTTCTACAAAATTCCTGCAGCCCCACACACACACTTTTACAGGCAGACAGTCACACACACACAGTCAGGGCCGCCATCAGAAATTGTGGGGCCCCTAACAAAGCTGAAGGTCTGGGCCCCCGGGTGCCCGCCTCCAAATCCCGCCCACAGGAACACACACACACACACACACACTGACATACAGACATACATACTGGCATATATACACATACATACTGATATACATACTGTGGCGAAACCAACCTCGCCACTGTGAACTGGAGAAGCCTGGTTGCTCGCCTGCTCCCTTTGGACTATGGCCCTGCAGGTTAAACTGTTTATTTCCCCTGCAGAAAGGCTTATTTGTGTGATCTGAGTGCCATTCATCTAATAATGTGCACTCAGATCCCAGCTATCTGGGGATATGTGAAATGTCTGTGTGTTATGTGTAAAGGTGACTTTATGTATTTTAAAGTGTTTTGTGTCTTTTTGCAACCATGTGCTTAATGGAGTCTGTGTCTGTCCTGGGAGATAATTGAATTACTTATCTCCAGGATAGAAGGCTCTGAAACTGGTTTGGGCCAGAAAGCCATGCTTCATTTAGTCACAAAGGACTTTTTACTAACTTTTGAACCCCTTTTCTGATTTGTGCCATTTTTGAATATGTTGTTCCCCTGAATGGATTGATTGTGAATATGTAATTTTATGTGAATGTGATGTATGGTTTTGGAGTTATGAAAGTTGGGTAGAAAGTATGTTTTAACTGTATGTATAATTGAGTTTCCTCTCAGGATAAGGGGAGGGAATATGTGGGATGTAACTGTGATGTGATTGGTTGTTTTGTAACGCCCTGTGGGCTGTACTATGTTTGTGGATTGGGAATAAAAGAGACTGTATGTGACAGTACAGAGAGTTCCTGTTTTAACCCTCAAAGTGAAGTGTCGTCTCATTATTGGGGGAAGGATTTATTGTATGCTGTTCCAGTTTGACTGCTAGGAGAGTAAACCTATTCGTATGGTTCCTATTCAACTGTCTACAGCATTCATATGCTTGGGAGAATTTATTTGTTTCTCCGGTTCGGTGATTGTGGTGTCTGCCAGAGTGCTTGGAGTCCTCAGGAAGCGCTAGGAGCATCCTTCAACGGAGGTACCCAGTCGGGGTGCCAGGCGATCCGTTACATTGGTGGCAAGCGGTGGGATGGCGTCCTAGTGCGAGGTAAAGCAGCTCGGAGACACAGTTCGTGGATTTACAAAGTGAGGGCAACGCCAGTACCCGTACAGCGACCCTATCTACAAAAGAACTAACTTCAGCAGCGCAAGCATGGCACCCAGCTACACTCAGGAGCAGAATGACAGAGAGTTTACCATGCGGCTGGCTTTCTTTGGACCCAACCCCCCGGAGAAATACGTGCAGTTCGTAAGGAGCCAGGTAGACGAGTACCTGGAGTTCATGGCAGATCCAGCCAAGGGTATCAGCCGCCCTATCCGGAGGCAGAGTGCGTTACGGGGACTCATAGGTGTACCCCAGGGAGCAGAAGGTGCCGTCCTTCCTCCCCAGCGGCAGTGTGTATCCCAGGGAGCTGAAGGTACCGTCCTTCCTCTCCAGCGGCAGTGTGTATCCCAGGGAGCTGAAGGTACCGTCCTTCCTCCCCAGCGGCAGTGTGTATCCCAGGGAGCAGAAGGTGCCGTCCTTCCTCCACAGCGGCAGTGTGTGTCCCAGGGAGCAGAAGGTGCAGTCCTTCCTCCCCAGCGGCAGTGTGTATCCCAGGGAGCTGAAGGTGCAGTCCTTCCTCCCCAGCGGCAGTGTGTATCCCAGGGAGCTGAAGGTGCAGTCCTTCCTCCCCAGCGGCAGTGTGTATCCCAGGGAGCTGAAGGTGCAGTCCTACCTCCCCAGCGGCAGTGTGTATCCCAGGGAGCTGAAGGTGCAGTCCTTCCTCCCCAGCGGCAGTGTGTGTCCCAGGGAGCTGAAGGTACAGTACTTCCTCCCCAGCGGCAGTGTGTAACCCAGGGAGCTGAAGGTGCCGTCCTTCCTCCCCAGCGGCAGTGTGTACCCCAGGGAGCTGAAGGTGCCGTCCTTCCTCCCCAGCGGCGGTGTGTACCCCAGGGAGCTGAAGGTGCCGTCCTTCCTCCCCAGCGGCAGTGTGTACCCCAGGGAGCTGAAGGTGCCGTCCTTCCGCCCCAGCGGCAGTGTGTACCCCAGGGAGCTGAAGGTGCCGTCCTTCCTCCCCAGCGGCAGTGTGGCCCAGGAGCTGAAGGTGCAGTCCTTCCTCGGCGGCAGTGTGTACCCCAGGGGCTGAAGGTGCAGTCCTTCCTCCCCAGCGGCAGTGTGTATCCCAGGGAGCTGAAGGTGCCGTCCTTCCTCCCCAGCGGCAGTGTGTACCCCAGGGAGCTGAAGGTGCAATCCTTCCTCCCCAGCGGCAGTGTGTATCCCAGGGAGCTGAAGGTGCAGTCCTTCCTCCCCAGCAGCAGTGTGTACCCCAGGGAGCTGAAGGTGCCGTCCTTCCTCCCAGCGGCAGAGTGTCCTGCAGGGAGCAGAGACCGTCAGTCTCGCACCCCAACCACAGGACAAAATAATGAAAGGGGAGACAGCTGGTCCCCCTCTCCACCAGCAGAGAGAGTGTCAGGGGGAGGAGCCTGATACCCCCTCTCCCCAGCGGCAGTTTACAGTTCAGAGAGAGGAGCTTGTTACACCCTCTCTCCAGCGGCAGCCTAACCCAGCAAGGGGAGATGTTACACCCCCCAACAGTGCAAATGGGACTGTAGTCTCTGCACTTACAGCACAAGGGGTAGGGACAGTCGGTGTATCCGCTCTCTAGAGCGGTGTATCCAGAGGGGAGACAGTCGGTCTCTCCCTCCCACAACCAGGCTCCCACCAGGCTACTTCCGTGGTAGCACTGGCATCAGGGCAGAGTACCGCTGGTCTCTGCCCACTCAACCCTGGGCAGCCTAACAGTTGCCCTGGTGGTGATGAGGCACCTGGACTGGACAAGTTCTCTCCTCTACCCAGGTGCTTAGTAACCGGATTGTGTGGGTGGGCTGTACTGCTGTTTCTGTTTGGGTGGGTTGCTGGACTAACCAGGAGCACTGACCCGGCGGGAGGTCCAGATACCCTGTTAGTCTGGATTGGTAGGGGAGAAGTGTGGCGAAACCAACCTGCGCCGCACAGCCAGACTGGAGAAGCCTAGTTTATGCGCCTGCTCCTTTGGACTATGGCCCTGCAAGGTTAAACACGTTTATTTCCCCTGCAGAAGGTATTTGTGTGATCTGAGTGCCATTCATCTAATAATGTACTGGATCAACTATCGGGATATGTGAAATGTCTGTGTTTTATGTAATAAATGTGACTTTATGTATTTTAAAGTGTTTTGTGTCTTTTTGCAACCATGTGCTTAATGGAGTCTGTGTCTGTCCTGGGAGATAATTTAATTACTTATCTCCAGGATAGAAGGCTCTGAAACTGGTTTGGGCCAGAAAGCCATGCTTCATTTAGTCACAAAGGACTTTTTACTAACTTTTGAACCCCTTGTCTGATTTGTGCCATTTTTTGAATATGTTGTTCCCCTGAATGGATTGATTGTGAATATGTAATTTTATGTGAATGTGATGTATGGTTTTAGAGTTATGAAAGTTGGGTAGAGAGTATGTTTTAACTGTATGTGTAATTGAGTTTCCTCTCAGGATAAGGGGAGGGAATATGTGGGATGTAACTGATATGTGATTGGTTGTTTTATACCTCCCTGTGGGCGGTCCTGTATGTGTGGCTGTAATAAAAGAGACTGTATGTGACAGTACAGGAGTTCCTGTTTTAACCCTCAAAGTGAAGTGTTGTCTCATTATTGGGGGAAGGATTTATTGTATGCTGTTCCAGTTTGACTGCTAGGAGAGTAAACCTATTTGTATGGTTCCTATTCAACTGTGTACAGCATTCATATGCTTGGGAGAATTTATTTGTTTCTCCGGTTCGGTGGTTTTGGTGTCTGCTGCAGTGCTTGGAGTCCTCAGGAAGTGCTAGGAGCATCCTTCAACGGAGGTACCCAGTCAGGGTGCCAGGCGATCCGTTACACATACATACAGACATACACACACACACACAGATAGATATATACATACACAGATACATACAGACATACGGACACACACACAGATAGATATATACATACACAGATACATACAGACATACTGACACACACACACAGACATACATGCATACTGACAAACATACTGATAGATTATATATATATATATATATATATATATATATATATAGATAGATAGATATATACATACTGACACACACATACAGACATATATACATACTGCCATAGACACACAGACATACATACTGACATACATGCATACTGACATAGATACATACATACATACACAGACATACATGCATACTGACATGCATACACACATACATACACAGACATGCATGCATACACACATACATGTCATGTGTGTATGTATGATGTTTCAAGTAGCCTCTCTCATTGTAGCAGTAAAGCAGGTGTATTTTCTCACTTCATGTCTATGAATGTGTCCATTGAGAGACACACTTGTAGAGATTAAAAATCCATCTCCAACCCCATCATTTATCTCCTGGCCTAGATCTCTTTCACAATGCCTAGATATGTCTAAAACAGGAAAAGGTATACAAAATTCATTTGACTTGTTTCCACATAAGGACTTAAATGTTATTCTGTCATTGGTAGAATGCAAATACATTTCATTGAAAAGAGAAAATAAGACACAGCATAAAACAGAGCATCCTAGTGTAGTATCACAAATACAGAGGTAGGAGAATGCGAATCAGCAAAGTTAGAAAAAGCAAACACAGACATATTGACAAACAGGCATACATACATACATGCAGACACATACATATACACACACACACACACCTCATTTATCAGCCACCCTCCTCTTACCGTTAAGTTCCAGGAGGGTGGCTGGGGATGATGGCAGCGGATGCCTCTGGTGTCCTGTCCTCTCCTCTGCTCTCCCCTCCACCCGCGCGGAGTAAGCTGGGAGGAAGTGACTGGCCATCACTTCCTCTCAGCAGCATTTGCGGTGCAGCCGCAATTTTTTTTTTTAAAGGGGCCCGGTCACGCAATTACAGCGCTGACCGGCCCCTGAAGATATAGAGCTCATCGGGTGGCCCTAAATTCTTGGGCTACCTGATGGGCCCTGGTGCAGATGCGCCTGCGGCAGTTTCGCCGCTCCACGTGGGGCCCGGGCGTGGTTGTCACCCCCTGATGGCGGCCCTGCAAACAGTTACAGACAGACAGTCACACATACAGTCAGAGACAGTCATGCACACAGTTACAGGCAGACAATCACATATGCATTCACACACACACACTCACAGGCAGACAGTCACACACACACACACAGTAAAAGGCAGCAGCAGACAGTCACATGCACAGTCACAGACAGATAGTCACACACGGTTACAGGCAACATCAAACAGTCACAGGCAGACAGTCACACATACATAGTCACATAGTCACATATACAGTCACAGGCAGAGAGTCACACACATACACAGTTACAGGCAACATCACACAGTCACAGGCAGACACACACACACACAGTTACAGGCATGCAGTCACACACACACACACACACATTTACAGGCAGTCACACACACACAGTTACAGGCATGCAGTCACACACACACACAGTTACAGGCATGCAGACACACACACACACACAGTTACAGGCAGACAGACACACACACAGTTACAGGCATGCAGTCACACACACACAGTTACAGGCATGCAGTCACACACACACACACATACACAGTTACAGGCATGCAGTCACACACACACACACACAGTTACAGGCATGCAGTCACACACACAAACACACAAACACAGTTACAGGCAGACCATTTTACAGACACAGTCACACACACACACTATTACTTACAGACAGGAGCTGGAGGAGGAGTGGATTCATTGAAGTCCTTCCTTGGAGCCTGTTAGGTGGAGAGGCAGGGATTCCTTCTTGCTGCACCTCCATGTGCAGCAGTAACAGCAGCGGGTAAGGGCCGTATTAAGCCCTGCCCCCGCTGCCGATTTGGCTACGCCCCTGATTCTGCTTATCCCCGCCCCCACTTTCCTTCCGTGCGGCCAGTTCAGCTGCTCCTTGCGTGTGTGAGCTGTTCTGGCCGCCCGGCAACCTAACTACCATGGGGCACTGTGCGACCACAGCTCACACAGCCCCCACACCAGGGTCATGGCATCCCCCACCCAGTGGCACCCGGGGCGGACCTCCCCTCAGCCCCCCCCTTAGTATGCCACTGAGCAGCATGCAGCAGACACAGAGGGCCACATATAAAGAAAGCTAAGTAAATAAGAATGCTCAGTCAATGGGTTGCTTAAACAGTAACAAACTGATTTAATAAAACAAGAAAACATTTAATCACATCTCCAAGGCAAAATGGCTGCCTAGTGAGAGAGACAGGAAGGGAAGAAAGACAAGCAGATATATACTTCCTGTCCAGCACCATAGAGACTATAGAGGACCGATAATCAAATGTCCACAGGAACAGTAAGTCCTCCAACACATTCAGATCAGAATCTAGTGATTATTACTAACGGGTTACCGAACCTTCCTCTGTAGTTTGATAGAGCGCTCTATTTCTTGCTCTCATAGAATTGTAGAGTAGAGTGACGTTTGCTGCTGTAGTCGATGGCAGGATATAGTAGGTTAGATGCAGGGTGCACAGCTAGATGTTTGCAGTGATTTAATTGGGTTTCCTACAGTTCAGGACCCCTCGCAGTATCTGATGGATTTTTTCACAGCTCTTCAATGGTTGCATTGAGCAGTTTGTGGTGATTCAATGTTTTCTATCATGTTTAAGGGGCTTGTTAAATGTCAATAGTACGCTCAGATAGTTATAATTAAAAATAGGTAGGCACATTCTGTCAAATGTTAATTAAGAGAGTATCACAAAAAAAGAAGAAAATGAAACTGGGTGCTCACTCACAGGGTCCTATTCCCTAAGGACCAAATAAAATTCAACATACAATCCAATCAAGGAGCACAACTGTAAATATTAACATTTTATTTAGATAGGTCCACAGAAAGTCGATATCTCGCCATGCATATCAATAAGTCAAAGCATAATCATATAATATTGGTACAAATTTTTTTTATCAGAAGTTCTATCATTACATCCAAGCAAAATATATAGTATACAAATACCTGAATACCGATATCATAAATGAGTAATAGAGATACCAAGTCCTAACAACCCAACAATAAATATATATATAAGAGAAGTAACAGCATACCAGAATAAGTAAGAAGAGGGAAGAAAAATCAATCAGCAAGCCCCCAACGTTTCGGCACAAATGCCTTAATCAAGGGAGCCTTGCACTCAGGGAATAGTACACTTAGACACACCAACAACATGGAGCTCCTGGAGAAGAGGGACATTAGGAGAGAAAAGAGGGACTGAGGGATTTGGATCAAAAAGGGACTATACCTTTGAAACAGGGCCAATCGGCAATATGCCAGAAGGATAATGCATTGCGTTACACTTAGATGATATCTCTGGATTTGTCTCCCAGCACAGAGAAGGCTATTCTGCAAGCAGACACCTTTATCACAAAGTCCTAATTCAAGAAGACAGTCCCTTGTACCATGTCACCTTGCACACGCAGCTCTTTTACAGTCTGCTCCAGTAGCTATTACATTGTGACAGGCTCAGTATTAAGACAGCATTAGGATAATTAAGAAAATGCATTGCCATATTCATCTTTCGTACTTGTATTTACTCTTAATTATGATATGATTGAAGTCATATTTTTGCACAGCCTTGAAGGAGTTTACCGCAAGGGCATCTGATAGCTGGCAGCTCAAGCGTGCATTCATTTGACGGATGGGGAGAATGCATTGTGTTTCATAGTTAATATTCCACTAACCTTTATTCTCACTGTGTAACTGTGACCTTAAACCTTAAGTGACACTTTACGGAACCCTTTGTGGATTCTAGAGTAAATGCAACAATAGTAAGAGAGAAAAACTGAGATTTGCCGTTGATATAGTAATTGGAGAGCTTGATAAATCATGGAAAATAAACCTTTAATCTGAGTTGAAGAGAGTGAAATGTATTTCACACCCATCCAGAGAGAAAGAAAAATGGAGGGAAAAAAAAAGGTTTGATTTAATTTAACTAATGGGAATAATTCATTTACAGGAGAAGAGGATGAACCCAGGTCATGTTTCAAAGAGAATGTAGAAGATTTTCAAAATTTCTTCTGGATTCATTTGAATATTATTGTAATGCATTATCTACATAGGTATCTAATAATCTAGGTTTAAAGAATATTTAAAATGTAACCTTCGGCAATACTGTACTGTAAGTGCTTAAATGACAAATACAACGTAATATTAAATCATAGAGAATCCGATTTCACCTATATAGTGTGAGAGCAGAATTGCTGGCAAATGGCTAGATTTATAAAAGGTCTTTCTCCCTCCTATAAGTCAGTTCAGTCTATGCCAATCCTGTGCAGACCAGCACAAAGATAAGAAGGCTGTGCTCTGCATGTCTGATATCAGGGAATCCTCCTTCTGGGCAACTATCCTGCTGACATTCAGCATAAAGGAAAGCAATGCCTGCAAGGGGAAGTAGGGATGAGGGGCGAGCTCTCCATGAGAGCGGCATGAAGATAGAGCCAGAATAATTGAGACTGGAGAGAGAAAGAATAGACACATTTTATTTACATACCATAAAGACAACATAAACTGTCAATGACTTTTAACCTGTTATGGGAAGCAAATCCGAGCTTTTCCAAATGTTTCACCCGAAAATACCTAGGTGTTTTCACCGACTAATTTTAATTTAAGGAGGCTGTATGTAGAGGTCACTAGTACACACTAAAAATGCTGGAATATTGATGGTTTCTAGCACTTTTGTTTTTCTCTACCGGCATCAGTGTACGGGTGTATCCTGGTTCTGCTACAATATATTTCGGGGGAAACATTTGGGGTCTTTATG